GGCGACTTCATGACGCCATTATCAAGGGTACAAATGAAAATAAAATTAACAAATGCGAGTTCAAGAGTTACAAGTAATTTGCATAGGGGAGGTAGCTACACAAATACTTTAACACGGATAGAATCTGTTTGCACGTTCAAACTCGGTGTTAATTGTTTGATGTAAAGCATCTCGTTGACAAGACAATCGAATTTGTTCATGCACTTCTTGAGAACTTTGAAACAGCTAAGTAGGTCCTCAGGGACAGCACCTGCGTGGTCGTTGTCGTAGTGCTTGTGTACTGGAGATGACGTGCTCTTATGGCTATAAGAGCACGTCATCTTCAGTATGCTATAAGAGCACGTCATCTTCAGTATGCAAGCACTACGACAACGACCACGCAGGTGCTGTCCCTGAGGACCTTCTTAGCTGTTTCAAAGTTCTCAAGAAGTGCATGAACAAATTCGATTGTCGTGTCAATGAGATGCTTTACATCAAACAATTAACACTGAGTTTGAACGTGCAAACGGATTCTATCCGTGCTAAAGTATTTGTGTAGCTACCTCCCCTACGCAAATTAGTTGTAACTCTTGAACTCACATTTGTTAATTTTATTTTCATTTGTACCCTTGATAATGTCATCATGAAGTCGCCAAAACGTCGGGATATTATATCGCTTGTTTTTACGTGTCTATGTATTACTAAATCTTTCTTAATACGGACTACAATACCCAACAGAAATCAGCCAGGTTATAGACACTATTTTGTGTACTGTCACGTATAACTGTAAAATGAAACTTACGATTGAGTCAGTTCTTGGCCAAACAGTTTCACATAATCTGATTAAAAAGAAAATGCAAAAGGAATAAATTGGTGATTCTAAATGCACAATGAATTGTTTGAGCCCAGGGATAATTAACAAATGGTAACCATCACAGTGTACACTATTGAGTTATGGCTGCACTTGGGAGGTTGCTAAGTATAAAAGAAGGGTAAGAATCGCTTGAAGGCCACAGCCAAGAGCGACTCTAGGTCTTGAGTATCCATAACTCAATAGTGTACACTATGATTTTTTCCATTTGTTTTAAAACATTAAAGACAATTTCTTGTGAAACATTTGTTTACTTAAAAAAATTTGCTCATGTCAGCAGTGTATACCCATGGGCAAGCAGTAGACACTGAATTGACCAATCAGAGCACATGCTTTATGTGTTTATGTTATAAGAGGAAATAGTGTGCTATGATTGCATGTTCAAGTGAGAGCAATCCTGATGTTTTGTCACTTACTTCCTGTCAGGTTGTCAAAATGTCCATTACTAAGTTCCTTTCCAAGACTCTTTTGCAAAACCCATCTTTGCCAATGATCAGATAAATTTGTACTTACTGATTTTATTCTGAACTTTGCATGTTGCCACCTTGGCATAGTATTTATGGGTACATTTCCATCTTGTTGTTGACCAGAAAGATTGGCTACCAACTCCACACAGAAAATGACATTCTGATGGGATCTTCAATTGAGTACAGCAGTTGGTGTTATCTATAAGAATATAGAATATGTCAAGAACTGACCTACGAACAAGAAAGATAAAACCTTACCAACAAGAAGAACACTTAATACGAGTGTAAGCAAACGCATGAAATCTATCTTGACAGATCAGTGGTTAAAGGCAGCCAAGGAGGTGCACGTTCAACGTCTTCCAGAAACGCAAGTTGCTCAAGATAGTCCCAAAATAAAGTTGATGGTGTTTTGTAATGTTCGGACCAGCCATATATGGACATACACAGGACAAAGGAAAAGCTGTCACTTGAATCACGGATGAAATGCGAGAGAAAACTGATCTCAGCTAACATTCTATTACTTTGTTTGTGCGCAGTAACTTTTTCTGCTTATGTCGGCCCATATTTTTAGGAATAATGATAAACAATGGAGTCAGAAATTTTTGAGAAGTATTTCAGTTGCACACTGCAGGGAGTTTATTTTGGACGCCGTCCATTATTTCTTAAACAAAGTGATGTCACCTTGCAATGGGAGCATGATGGCTGGGGGAGGGGTGGGGGCAACTTTTTTTTTTTTTTTTTCTTTAAGACGGCTATGGAGTACAATTTTAAACAAATGATGCTGCAGCATCCCCTCCCTCCCAGGTGATTATAGCCAAAGGTCTTTGACACCGCTCAAATATGATTTTTTTTCAAACAAGCCCTTATCGAAGACGAGCGAACAAACAAAAAGTCCTAGAAACAATCTCAGTCTCATGTGAAAAGTGATGGAGTTAGATATTTTTTTCCGGTATTTTAGTGAAGTGGATGCTTGATACTGAAATCATTGCAGTAAGCTTAAATTTAAAACAGACTTCAGACGCCTCTCCCAACCTAAAAAAATAAAGGGCCAAAAAGAAAAAAAAAAAAGGTGTCACACGAGGAATGCGTTAGTACGCGTTTCAAAATACCACTGCATGTAATAATCTTCGCCAGATTACAGCCAATCGCTATGGCAATATACTGTGAAAAGAATACGAAAATGAAAACGTTTGGGAAAAACCCGAATACTTAAGGATTAAATTTGAGAAGGGTCTACTAAATTCAAGAAAGCGTCACTGCTCGTCGTGCAATCTCTACGATGGTGTATGAGGTGCTTTTTTTCGCTTTCACGATTCTAGGAATCAACACAAGCAGTGTAAGTAATCCCTGACATCTCTTCATTGTAAATGTTGTTTGATGTGTAATATTAGGACTGTTTGTGACACCAGTAAGAACTGCATAATTTATATTTATAGCGGGCGCTTTCAAGGACAGAATCGCCATAACTGTTCTGGATATCTGACCTTAATTGTCCACAAGCTCCAATTATTTCGTTTGGATTAGGAATCAAACTGACAAGACCACAAACAAACTTAATTTTTTAAGGACGGTATCGGAACCACAGAAACTTATTTACATGCTTTGTAGGAGTAAATCTTTCCATTCCAATCGATTGATTCCGACAAGCTTAAAATTAAAATGGATTCTTCGGTGTCATGTCAGTAGGATAGCAATTTTGCCCGTTTGGCACGTGTGAAAATGACCACAGCGGTTAACAAAATCGAAGAGAAATGTTCTTCAACTACCGCGGTGGCGCGCCACAAGTCACGCGATAAGCACATGCTCAATGACGCTGGCAAATCGTTTACACAAAATATAACTGATTCCTTTTACTGTGGCTAATACTTAAAAAGTTGCTACCCTAATTAAGACATTTTCAAAAACGTTTTGAATTTTTGCATTTGTCAACAAGAAAGTTTTTATTATTCTTAGATGAGTAGGCACTTTTAAAATAGAAATCGAAGGAGAAGACAAGGGGTCATTGCTCGACAACAACTTCCTGAATTTCTTAGTAATAAGCATCGCAAGCTAGTGACGATTTCCACGAAAGATCTTCGCCATCTATAAGCAAACGTATATTCTATGAAGTTTAAGTATGACTACTGTGGTAATCACCCGATAAAAACCGTGATTAACTGAACAAATGATCTAAGCCAGGATAAGCTAGCAAATAAAAGCGACATCTTTGATACCTGAAGCAAGCGGAAGGGCAAATATCACGTTATTGTTTCCGACTGTTTTGACCAGACGCTCGGTACTTGCGCCCTCTAGCTGTTGCAATATGTTATCTGCAACTGCTTTAGCTAACAATGATAGTGCTTCAAAATTAAACTGACTTTATTCATCTCTAAGGAAAGTTGTTATTATTTAGTATAAAGAGTGGGATCGTATTTCCTGAGTGCAATTATGCGAAGTTTAAATATTGTTATCCATTTTAAATCATTTTCTAATGGATAAGAATCGATACAACAATCCAAGCTACCAACAGAATTCAAAACTGTTGTTTTCCTTTTCGATCCCAGAAGCCAGCTAAGCAGGCATAAACATTGAGGCGCCTCTCGTACCCCACCCCCTCCCCCTTAATGAGCCCTTTTTGTTTCCTTTTTTTGTTTTGTTTTGTTTTGTTTTGGTTTTTTTTTTCAAGAAAAAAAGTTTAATCCGATAAAACTGGTTTCTTTGTTATTGTTCCCTTCTATCTTCTTACAGTCGCTGAGCGGTAGTAATTCCCAGCTGTCCAGTCCATCCTGCAAGAAATGCCCAGCAGGATCTTTCACACTCTGCTCTCAATATGGAGAGTCACGGTGTGAAAAGTGCCCGGATGGAACATACTCTGATAAGCCTTCTCGCCGAGGAACATGCAAGCGCTGCGCCAGATGTGCTTACAATGAATTCGAGTCCCATCCTTGTAATTCAACGTCGAATACCGTTTGTGTGAAATGCAGAAAATGTCCTTTAGGCTTCGGCGTGTTCAGGCCTTGTGAAAAGAGGAGAGACACTGATTGCGTGAAGTGCCCCGTTTCCGAGGGCTGGTTTAGCGATTACCTTAAAATTGATTGTGGATTTAAAGGTAACAGTTAAAGTTCTTTTCAAAATCAGAACGACTTTTTGGTTCTATTTTGTTGTCAAGTGTTACATAAACGGTAACCAAGAGATCAGGGGCCCGTTTGTTGAAAGTCCTGGTAACTTAACGGGCCCGTAAAGCTGTTCTGTTTCCATTCAAGAAGGGGATTTCAAAAGTTTTACCAGCTAAAGAAACAA